ACGAAAAATGGGTTTGAAATGATATACAAACAAAAAATGTTGTTCGTTTAATTGTAATGGCCAACAGGAAGAAGCAATCAGGACTTCAAAATGCATTCCAAAAAGAATTAGTAACCCAGGATTAAGGCCTTTGTTCTTTGTTTTTCAACATGTTTTTTTTTTAGATAAATGAATTCATATCATATTAAGATTAGTCGCACAATAAAAATCCATTAAGTTTCGTTGAAACTAGTGTGCTTTGAAAACGAGTTCTGTTTTTGTCGCGTGCGAATGTGTTGATTTTTTGTATTTAACTTGAAAACAGACAATTGGCCTAAACCAATTTTAGCATCAATTCTAATGCTGATCAAGAGCAACATGTTTTAAAATAAAATAATGTTTTGGCATGGCCGTTTTCACTTTGCGCACGAATGGCGCATTCGAAAATTATAGGTATATGTAAGGATTTTAATCAAAGTTTGAATCGATATGTTCAGAACGACGAATTATCCAACGCGAACGATTTTTTAGGTAACTGTTACCAGTAATATTCTCACTGTTGCCAGTAAAGTAAATTTTGTTACTTTTCTTTAACACCCGAAATTGAATTTGGTATTCTGGCGAACTGGTCAAAATGTTCGAAAAAAAAATTTGGCAGCACTGCTTTTTTCGTCCATGTCAAAATACATTTGCCAGTTGATAAAGTAAAAAGAAAAATATTCACATCGAAATGGAAGACGGTGCACTTCAAAATAAATAAGTTATGTGTTTATTAAATCATAATATTTGAACCTAATTATGGGAAATATGCCTGGACAACAAAAAAAAAGCTGAATGAAAACGTTAGCTTACAAATTAAAGGGCTATTTTTCAGTCTCGAAAGCTACTTAAGATACGGTTTTTTTTTCACTTTTTTCTTCGTGTTCAATGAATTCCAGGCCTAAAATATGCCTACCCATTTTGGCTTTTTTTTATTTTTTCTCAAACTTACAACACAAAATCAAACAGCAGATATTTTTGTTACCTCCTATCACGCTGGTAACAAAATTTACAGGGTAACAGTGAGCTCAGAATACGAAATGGTAACAAAATTTACAGGGTAACAGTGAGCTCAGAATACGAAATGGTAACAAAATTTACTGAATGGTAAGTTGTAATACCTAGGTAAATTTTGTTACCACGACAGAATAGGCCTGTAGGTGTCCAATTGCCTACGTACGTGTATGTATGACTGTTTTTACAGAAGAATATCTTATGTGTTCATTGTGTTCGTTTTTAAAGTGTTTTTAAAGCAAGATAAGACTTTATCAGTCATAATTAAACTTCAAGTTTTATTGTTTTTTATACTTTTATTAATAATTGCGCAGTTTATAAAAGAATTCCATTTGATATTAAGTGATAACGTTGTTGTTTAAATAATTTGATTGCTTTGCGTAACTTGCATTTGCAGTTTTGTGGCAAACATTTACAGGATTTCACTTTCGTTATTTTCAATGATTTCGCCTTCGTGGCTAAAATAAAAATATAATTAATTCAATAATTGTCATTGGTTACTAATGTATTTACCATCTTTAGTTTCCTTATTAGTTTTTGACTTGATAGTGCCTAGTAATTTCGTAAACATTTTGAAACTTTGTAATTAAAGTATCTGCACACAATTACGTTATAAATTATAGTGATACTCTGTTGTTGCGTGTTATTTACTTTTATAAAATATTTTGTAATACTTGCTTGCCTTCGCGATCATATTTCAGCACTACATATTCTCGAACATTTCCTCACCACATACCACATACTAGATTAAAATATGTATATCGTTTAACCGCAAAATGTATCTACCTACATACAAATGTCTGGAAAGCAAAAAATTAAAAAAAAAATATTTTGTATATATAATATAGTCTTTATAATGAAAGTAAGTGGCATTGAAAAATGAAAAAAAAATATTCAGATTTCGTGTCCTCTTCACATTTTTCAAAGTTCTAAATGCACGTATTATAAATTTGCCTACAAGTTCATTTTTAAAAAAAATTATGCTGTACAAGAATCTGCATTAAATACCTTTTTCTCGTAATTTTGTTTTCAAACTGTTAAAAAAAAAAAAAAAAAAAAAAAATTCCAAACACATTTATTTTTCACTTTTCTTTTATTTTCCTTCGTCTAAACTCTAATTTATGGTATTAACTAAAACAGATTTTTTCACTACTGACGATCCTGTCACGAGACGCACATATTCCAAGGAGGCAACGAAAATGACAATGGCGCGTTATGAATATTTTCTTTTCAAAATTTCTGAAATTCCTTTTTAAATATTGTATATATCGTAAGGGCAGTAAATATTTTTTTAATAAAAAAAATTGTTGAAATTAAATCTTTTTTTTTAGCGAATAAACTCTGGGAAACTTTTAAGGCTAATGGAGAGGAGAAATGTCTTTCTCAATAAAGGCGTTAATTTTCAGCCATAAATTCGATAGGTTGCTTTGTTGATTCAATCTTTATCTACAATATTTACAAATTATATATAAAAAGACTTCTTCTGAATGACTGACGGATGAATAAATATTCAAATTTTTGTTTAATCGTTCGAATAGTGTGCATGAAAATGTTATGTTTCGGTTTTGCTTAATATGTAAAACATAAGCTTAGTTCCAAAACATCAAAATACTTTGCAGTGATGCGGTTACGATACCGTATCAACACAATGCAACCCTGCGTTGCATATACTTGGTCAAAAAAACATTGTATTCTATTGTATTTAACACGTGAAAATATACTATATATATATATATATATATATGTATATATAAAATATTTAACATATATATAACTTGTATCAAAAATATATAAAGATGTGATTGCTTTGCAACTGACGTTTTGGAACCCATACATATTTAAGTATATTTCTCTTTGCTTTGGTTAATATGTGGAGAAAATTTCTTTCTGGAATGAAAGCCGGAAAAATCATGATTATGCATATTCTTGTCAATGGTTCTGATGTTAAATTGTGCATAGTGTCGTCCATGCTAAGTGCCTAGGTTCTGTTTCTTCTACTTCCAGTACTTACCGACGTTATGGTACTGTGAGCAACTGTGTTTCACTGTGTGTTCAAGTACGTCACACTAGTACACGACTTCCATATCGTGTCCAAAAGCGACTTGAAGATTTTGTTGCGATTCTGTACTTTAGTAGCAGTAACTTGGGATTATAAATTGTCGGAATTTTTAAGTCATTGACTTTCATGTCAAGCTCGAGCCGGGACTCCTGCGTTCAGCTGGTGAAAAGAGCTGGCGAAGATTTCGCTGGTTTTTAGTTGTAGTTGACGTTCAGTAAAGATGTGGGGAATGTCGGCGAGATTATAGCTCACTTACGATCAAATATCCTCAGGTGACGAAGGGAGCTGCGAAAAGTGAAAATTAAAGAAACGCGAAGAGGAGAAAACCTTTATTTAGTTAGAAGTTTAGTTTAAATGTTTGAATTCGATGAATTTCGGCCCCTCTCCTTAAAGCACCGCGCAATTTTGGTGGGGATGACGTCTTGTCTATTACAGAATTCCGTATCATCTTTTTGTTCTGAAATGTCCATACCTCTACGATCATTTGACATGCTATAATGCCAAAGATCGTAGTGCGCTTCAAAACCGCGCAAGACCAATTAATTTCCGTCTCTGAGTAGCTCACCGCTGTATGTATATAATAATGGTATCTAAGATGATGAGCGTCAAGGCATTTCCTGGATCTCGCTCGGGCTCTTTACCAAAGAAAATCTGAGCGGCCGTTTAGATTTGTTTCCTGGATAGTAGCTATAGGTAGGTGCTCCCGGAGTCTAGTTGTCTCGGAAGTACGTTCGTAATACGCGATGTACAGGAATGGGTCTTGGATGTTGCTACTTTATAACCCGCAAGAGAGAATGTTGCACCTTGATTCTAGTTGGAGGCGGTATAGTATTTGCATGCGAAACTAGGCACCCGATTTTATTCGGCGAAGAGCTGTCACCCGTTCGGCGATCTAATTCTGTTTAATCAACAGGTAAATCTTGTCGATCTTAGATGTCGTTTATAGTGCTATTTTATTGATTGTCTTAATATGTTTTGTTGGACATCTCTACCTGAATTTTAGGATATAAAAAATTATCCAAAATCTACAGTTACCAATCTATCATCAACATCATAATCCGACGAGATCATTTCAATCGATTTAAAGTTTAAAACCCTTTGACACTATGCTAAAAGTTTTCCTCCCAATTGTCGACGCTTCTTTTTATACCTTTCATGTACATGTCCGTCTTTTTGTACTCGAATTAGTCGGTCAGTTTTTCAGATATTTGTTACGCAGATGCACCGGCGCATTTGAACGTTCATTTGTAATCCCTGCGGATTAGGGGCTCAAGAATTTAGCCGTGGTAAGAGGCGACTAAAATCAAATAGTTCTCGGGACAGTCGTGTCTTTACACCGGAACGAACCGGATTTTTGTACGGCCAAGGACTCTCACTTTCGCAAAATTCCCCGAAAATTAATTCGGGAAATATTTTACGGTTACAACAACAGCAATCATCATTTGTTTCAACCGGTCAGGCCGGACCACTATAGGCAACCATTGTACAGATTCAAGAATTTAGGTCATAAATTTGTCACAAGAAAAAAAATCATCTAGGAGCGTGAAATTTGATATTCTGCACACATCTGACGAATTACACAGTGGCGTTGAAAATTATCGCAATCGTGCAACTTTATCATATGATGAAAGCATCAGATTTGGTATTTGGAAGAAAATATTGGCACCGAAAACTAAATGAAAAATTAATTAAGAGGTAATCCTAAAATGAAACACCATAAATTTAATATAGTCAGAAAGGTAAAAAATATCTCTTCTTCCTTGTTATGCTTGAAGTAATACATGAAGAAAGACATAGATTATAACAAAAGTGTGGTTATAATTACATTTTATTAAATTTGTTCATATTATATAATATATATACATAGTCGACTTAAATATGCAACATTTATATTTCATTTATAATTTTTTTTTTATCAATATGTTAACTTTCAAAGCTACAAATGGTACATATGTATGCAATAACCAGAAGCCATATTCAAACAGTTTTCATTTGCGTATAATATATAATATCATGTACTTATTTACATGTGTTGTCTAATATAGACAGATTCAACGCCGTTTTGTTTGCTCCAATGCACTTTTTCATATTTTATATATTTTTCTCATTCTACAGCTTTTTTTTTTTAGTTTACTCATACAAATTAATGTGTTTTAAATAGCAAAAAATCATTATTTGGAAGGATTTAGTAATAAAAACTATAAACTAATTCGTTTTTATTGAAAACATTAACTTGCCTGATTCAGTCTCTCTCCTACAACTATTGTTTATTTTTATTTAAGTATTTATTTATATAATAAATATAGTAAAAATCCAGTTTCTCTATACGAGTAGGATATACATATTGTATTATACATACATATGTAAATATGCAAAAAAAAAAACATACGATTGTAAAAAGAAATGCATATATCTGCGTTATTGCTATAACATATACTCAAATACAAGTTTTTGAATATTAATTTCAATAATTACTTCAGTATTGTTAAGAAAAAGTTACAATAATAATTTCGTCTCGCTTTGATTTCCATTACAAATATTCTTGTGCAAATGCAATACGTATAGAAAATATGAAAAATGGTAGTGTATTTGTTATTGTTGTGCTATAAAAAATCTGCTCCATACATGCATGCTTACATACATGCTTTGAAATGTATTCTTACAAAAAAGATGTGTCTTTAAATCGTCACTTTATCTAATAAAAATATTTTTTTTTTTTGTATTGAAATTTTGACATTATGCAATTTTTTTCCTTTTTAAAAACAGAAAAGGTCTATTGTAGTCGCGCATCGTAAATATTTTCGGCTCTTCAATTTGTATTTAAATTATTGTCATTTATTTTGTGTGCTCTTGAACACTGTTCTGGTAATGTCGGCGGCACTATCGCCTTTTCCGACTCGTCCAATTCCTCAGCCTCTTCAATTGCTTCCTCGTGTTCTTCACAAATGCTGTCCTTATGTTTGCGAACTCCACGTTTACGCATGTAAGTGGTGAGTGGCCGCTTTTTCTGTTCCTTGCAAAATGGGCACTCTTTCTTTTGGTCTTTCATTGATTTCACTTGTCTACATTTTTCTGCAAAGAAATAAAGAAAGTGTTAACATTAATAAAAGTGTGGGTATAGCTTATGTCTAGTCTTATATAGTATATAATATACATTTATAATATGCACTTTAATATATTTATTATGCGGAAAAATATAAAAATGTTTTGTCAATATGTAAATTATCATTCGCATATACATACACTTGGATAAGTACAGACATTCACTGAATATACACACCCATAAATATCAAAAAAAAAAAAAAATAATAATAAAATGAGCGAACGCCCGTACACTTTAATCGTATATATTTAACTTAAGAGTTTCTTATCGATGCATACATAACGAAATATAGAGTGTGGTTAAATATACTCGTAAAAATATGTGATATGTGTATATGAGTTCTTTTAATCAAATGTAGATAACCCCTATAGTGTATACTAGATTCTTGATAACCGGGTATCAGTTGCTCGATACCCGTTGATTGCTCCAAATTGTTTGATTTAGATTTTTTATTTGCTTTTATTTGGCAGTAAAATTATATGGATACGTTGATATATAAAGGGTAGTTTTTTTAGACATGTGATTTTAAAGAAAAAATAAAATACCTGTAATATAATGTTATGGCCAAGAATTAAGCTTTATTATAAAGATAAGAATTTGACATAATGTTTTAAAAATGATTTCGAACAGGTGATCACCGTGGCTTGCTCGAATAAATTTCAACTGAGAGACCCGTTTTTCCAGCAATCCTTTCCGTGTGTCAGCAATAATACAGCGAATATTCTCTTATCTGCGGAGACAATTGACATCATATAATAATTATAACAATTTTTGACGCTTTATAACCGCTAAAGCGACTTAGCGGCCGAGCTCCTCCTCCCAGCTGTGGTTTTGCGTCTTGATCTTTTCCCAACAAATAGAGGGGCATACAGTTTATACTAAGCCGCCTCCGAATGGCTGATGGTTTTTATGAGGAGCTTTATTTATTTCATATCGGAAATACGCATTCCTGCCGACAGACGAACGCAATTGGAAAATTTTCCTTTACTTTTTATTTAAATTGCTATTCTATAAATTTGGATATTGTGTGGGAATTTGTACCCGAGCCTTCGGAATGACAATGCTAACCTCTCGGCTACCGCGGCCGCCAGCGACTTCATATAACCCCACATAAAGTAGTCCAGCTGTGTTAAGTCACACAAGGTCATACCAGATGCCCACCACGCAAGATATGACATATAATATAACGCCGTCTTTTTGGAACTAAAGGTCGTCCAGCCACCATCTATGGCTCTTTAACGTTCCTCATTACTATAACATCATTTTTTAAGAAATATGGACCAAAGAGTCCCGCTGCCCATAGAGCACTTCAACAACAGTGACTTTTTTAAGGATGTAACGGCGTCTCAACAATGACGCTATGCGTCGCGCGAACCGAAAAAAAGGACCCTTATTATACGTTATAGATATAATCACTTTTTCGTTCCTATAATATAAACCTTCAAGGAAAATATAAATCTTAAAACCTCAAATTAAGCCGTTCGCAATTTTTCAGTGGTTACCTACCAGAATAAAGCGGCGGTTACAAAGCAGTAATATCTTCAAACATATGTAGGTTTGCGACTTATTTATATTGGATGAGTGCATAAGTTCGTGCCCGATTTCAAGTGCAAACTAAAATTGAAATTTTTTGAAGAGAACGCTTTTATTAATCAATTATGTATTCGCCATTATGTTCGGCAATCCACTCCCAATTCATCTCCTTCGGTTTGGCCAGGGTCGGTTTTGCAACATGTGGCCTGGCGTTGTCATGATGGAAAAGAACTCCTTTGCGATTGGCCAAAATCGGACGTTTTTCATCAATTACTTTCTTCAATTCGACCAATTGCTGACAATACTTGTTGGCAGTGATCGTTTCTCCAGCTGGCAAGAGCTCAAAATAGATCACGCCTCGGATATCCCACCAAATGCACAGCAGTACCTTCATCGGATGCAATCCACCTTTCGACATCGGTTCCGCCCCTTCGTGTGCCTGTTTCCATGTTCTTTTGCGTTGAACATTGTTGTACAGGATCCATTTTTCATCACCAGTCACGAGCCGATCCAAAAAAGGTTCGTTTTTGATCCGTCGAAGCAAAGAAATTGCTGTTGACAAACGGTCCACTTTGTTTTTTTCACTCAACTGATGTGTCAAAGTGTACCCAACCTTTTTTAAACGACGAAACGCAGTTGATTTGTTGACGTTCAATTCTCTGGCAACCTCTTCCGTCGAAATACGTGAGTTATTCGCAACTAAAGTTCTTAGAACATCGTCATCAAGCTCAAAACGCCGTCCACTGCGAGGTTGATATTCGAGGTTAAAATCTCCAGAACGAAATTTCGCGAACCATTTCTTTACTGTGCGGAATTCTGGAGCACGGTCCAAATAAACTTCGCGAATATCTTTAGTTGCAGCGCCTACTGGTTTTCCTTTGCGGAATTCGTATAACATAATATGACGCATATGATCTTTTTCGTTGTCCATCTTCCATGCGTCTTTTCACTAAGCAACTCAAATCAATATTAAGTTATTTTATGCTTGATTTACAGTTCGGACCGAGCGCCACTCTCAAACGATTCGAACGGCATCGGGCACGAACTTATGCACTCATCCAATATTTGACCATTATCTGTGGTAAAATTCAAATTTTGTATAAAGTATAAATACATATATTTTATGAGTAAGATTGTAAGCCTGGATGTGACATACATATGTGTTCATGTCTGTTCACAAGAACTCACAAAATATTTATGTACGTACATAAGTAGTATCTGTTGTTCATTTTGTTCCAAAGTTTTTATCAAAAATTTTGAAGCGAAAAATACTATTTAAAGTCCTCGTTAGTTAGTGAATTTTATTTATAACCATAATTATGTATACATAAAACCACTTTCAAATTCATAGTTCAAAAATCAGATGCAGGGTGCGCCATATCTAGACCTTCGGTATTTCAACATTGAGGAGCTCTGAGATTTTTCAGCCGATTTCGCGCATTATTGGTCGGCAATTCAGGCGTTATAGCAGCTATTTCGGCTCGTATGTTACCTTTTAGTTCGTCGACCCCCAAAAGATAAAACTCAGGTTCAGTTGAATTTCGAGAACAAGGCGGTCACTCCAAATCACCATTTTATTTACAACTGAACGATTGTTTTCAGTGTAAAGCGCTACGATTTAAGCTGCGATCTTTCCGTGTGTATAGGTTCATGGTTAAAATAGCACTGAGTGACGTATCAGAATCATGTACATTTGTCAAAATCGGCTAAAAACCGACAGTTATTGAATGTTGAAATGCCGAAGGTCTATATGGCGCACCCTGTACAAAAGCTTCAAATGCAATTTTAAAAACAATTGTACTGATAGCTTGTCGTTACATATATACGTAGTATGTATGTAGATATATAATACGTGTTTTTCACATACTGTGTTGTTAGCGTTATATTCACAACTAGATCAACCTTGTGCTGTTGATAAGCTGCTGAATTCACCAGATAATTGACTAAAAATAAATATATGTACATATCTATAAATATATACATATAGTACATATGTATGTATATGCTACCGGATTTAAAGATAAATGTTTTGAATAGCGCACGCATTCATTAAAGCGTACATATTGTACATATACAGAATCAATGTCTTTTCTTTTCTAGTCACACGTGATTATGTTTATTTGTTACATATATGTATATATATATATATATGTATATATATATATATGTATATATATATATGTATATATATATATTTATATATATATATATAGCAAATATACTTACTTTTGTATTTGTACAAATTTTCGTACATACATAGTATTTATGGATATATGTATATGTGTGTTTGTAACTGTACCCTGCAGATAAAAATACTAGTTGTCAACTATAATCCAACTAGTTAACATTTTTACATCGACGAGTTCATCTTCCAACTATTTTCCATTTAAGGAACTGGTATTTTTGACCTAACGATGCCCAACGAGCCTACCAGTTCTAAATAGGAATGTTGAATTTTTACTTCACCAAAAAAAAAAAAAAAAAAAAAAAAAAAAAAGGAGTTCGATGCTGTGACAATCGAATCGAGACCCTCACGAAATCACAGTGAAGACCTATAATCACTAGGCTATCCTAACGAAGTAGAAAATAACAAAATCTGCGCAATTAATGGTAGTTTTCAGGCAATGTATTTCAGCCGAGGCGTACTAAAAACAACAAAAACATACATATTCAAATTAAAAAAAAAATAATTGCCTCTGGTTGGACTCGAACCGGGAGCCTTACGCGCATTTTGCGCACTTCAATACAACAGAGAAGAGAATGGAATACAGCCGCGGCGCGCCGATATAACAACAAACGGTAGTGAAAATTTTTAATATCTCCCATTGTTGGTGGGCTTCTTTACAAATAACGAACTGGTATGATTTCATTTTCAAAATACTAGTATTTTACCAGAATTTTTGCATACTGGTTGGTGTTTCCATGCAGTGTATTTATTCATTTAAAATTTTAGAGAATTTTTTATTCAAATTTTATACATACATATATACATGTGTACGTACACATGTATGTTTGTAGTTTTATTTATTGATAATTTTGCTTAATATACTTTAAATCGCCATTGCTTGACGTTCCTATAGAATATGTGTAATTGTGTTTAAATGTATTTAGTATTTATGATAAGGTAATTAGAGCTAATTGTACTGTTAGAAGCAAAATTGTATTTGTATTATTTTAATAATAATTGTGTTCATAGTTAACAGGTATTTTCCTGGTAAATATATAAACTTGGAATAGACTTTATACATATACATATACTATATTGTTGCTGTGTACATATATCATTGGTAAAACAATGTAATTAATTGTTTTATACCTTTCATGAACAATATATGGTATATTAACTTTTACGCGAAGTATGCGAATAGGGAAGAGATATAGCCACCTAAATTTATACCGATACCATCATAACGACGAGTTGAGTTGATTTAGCCAT